GGACCAGTGAAAAATTTAAGAATATAGTTGACTGCCCCTCTACACTTGTAGCCAAGCAACCTTATGTTACGCTTGGCCTCAGCTATCCACTCGCCTACATTAATTTGGTCTAAATTATTAGGTGTCCCTGAAAAAGTTTTGAGCTTCATCTCACTTGAGGGAAAAGATCGACACTGTGAGACCCCAATTTTTTTAACACTCTTAGTGTGACTGCTCACCCCCTGTTCCATCTGGTTTGTGAGTCTTTGTACTTGATTACATAAGGGTAGGATACTCTGGTGATACAATTCACTTATTTCCGAGCTTCTCAAGTCGATCAAATTCTCCTCTGGAAGGTGGTGTGAGGATTGGTAACTCATGCTTGGCTGCTTCTAGATCAGTCCTCCCAGGGCGGCACTTTTGGGTCTGCTCATCACCCATATCTGCAGCTACTGGAGACGTTAATCCATCCCTTTGTATCGGCGGCAAGTTAATCCTTGTCGTGTCTGACCTAACACCTGACCCACATCATCACGGCCACGTCATGAGCTACACCAGCATAGTTAAGCAATGCTGACCCAGACTGAGAACAGAGAACAATGTCATTCTTTACTGTGCTCTCTGTCGAAAAGGAGTGAGGACGTTGGCAGCGGTCACCTGTCAGTGTTGTCCAAACTCTGAATCTCCAGTTGTCCGTGATTTGTGTTTTGTGAAATTGTTGATCTACATTATTTTACTATCGTACACAGCCCTCTATTATACCATGGCCAACAGGGATAGAAACAGATACAGAAAATACATCTGGGGTGCAGAGAAAAGGAAGAAAAAAGGAAGAGAGAAGAAATCGAAATGTCAATGAAAGGTTCCAGAGAAAAAATATGTTTTCAAAAACACCAGAAACTAGTGCAAAAGAGGACCTGAGCCACTGTGATGGTGATAGTGTGGGTCATATTTAAGTTGAGGAAGAGGAGAGTACTGAAAAAAATACTAAGTCTTTTAAAATGGACAGTTCTACCTCCGCTAACAGGTATGCTGATGAAGATCTATGTGATCCAGCCAACTGGCCACATTCACTGGACACTACGACAATTGATATTTTGGTAGAAAAGGGACCTGTTAAGGTATCTTGTGAAAATTATGTGTGTCCCCAAAAAGGTGAAAACCGACACTTTTCATACGACTTTTACATGCGAAGATTGCCAAATGGGGAAATATAAGAAAGATGTAAGTATATTACGTAATACTTGACATAGTAATAGTATGATTGGGGGATTAACAATATGTATATTACAGTACGTTCAAATATAAAAATAAATCTTAACCTTTATTTCATATATATATATATATATATATATATATATATATATATATATATATATATATATATATATATATATATATATATATATATCTCATGTAAATCCACATGTGATTTTATCAAGATATATATATATATGGGGGTTTTTGCGGTAAAGATAAAAATAGGATGAGGGTGTGTTTGATAAGTTCAAGACAGCTATACAACGTGTTAGGTCTAAGGGGGGGATCTCTATCATATGTGGTGTTCTGCCTAGAAGGAATGGTTGTCAAGGGCAGTTGGTGTCAACGGCCGTCTTGACAGATATTGCAAGTCAATATCAGTCCCAGTCATTGACAACTGTGACAACTTCTACGGCAGAAGGGACTTTATGCTAGGGATGGGGTGCATCTGTCTAGGGATGGAGTAGCAACCCTGGCTGGGACTCTCGAAAGGGCAGTCCAAAAGATGTCGAAGTCTTCAAACTGCTCGGGGAACATGTGAGCACGGGGGTGGAGGACACTGCAGTGGAAGCGGGTAAACAAAGTGAAATGTAAAGAACTCAGTATAGGAGATGTAAACAGGGAAACCAGATACCAGATGAATAACGATGCCATTGTGAAATCCGACTGCGAGAGAGATTTAGGAATCATAAGCCAAGTAAACAATGTTTTTTGCTCGTAACAAGGCTAATAAAGTACTTAGGTTCATAGAATCCTTGGAAAGAATCCAGAGGAGAATGACAAGACTAATCCCGGGCATTAGGAACCTTGAGTACAGAGACAGGTTAAAGCATCTTAATTTGCACTACCTTGAGAGACGTAGAGTGAGGGGCAATATGATAGAGGTGTATAAATGGAAGTCGGGGGTTAACAAAGGGAACATTACAAAGGTACGAGCGAACTCGTAACAATGGTTTTAAATTAGACAAATTTAGATTTAGGCGCGAAATAGGTAAACACTGGTTTGGAAACAGAGTAGTGGATGAATGGAACACTTTACCAAATATCATCATTAACTCGAATACGCTGGATAGCTTCAAACATAGGTTGGATGCTTATATGAGCAATAGGGGTTGGGTGTAAATGGGACTGCCCAGTATGGGCCAATAGGCCCCCTGCAGTTTCCTCCATTCTTGTGTTCTTGTGAATGCAAAGGGGCCCCACAGTGGATGAATTGCCCTGGGCCCCCGCACCCCCCTAGGGATGGCTCTGTATCCTCCTCTGCGTAGATAACTGCTTCACAGGTCCAAGTTCTCCCCTCCGCTGTCGATCCTCAGTAGGCGGTGGTGCCGTGCTCCTCCCCGGGTGATTTCGGCTATAATAACTACTGTCTGGGTGCTGCTTGTTCTTTGTTTTATAGGGGTGAATCCCTACTTACTCATGCAAGCAATTGCATATCCCACATCTCCACCAAGTTGTAGCAAGAACACAGCAGGGAACTCCTATGGCAGGGATATGACAAACACTTGTAGCTTTCTCTTGTATTTACTATAGAAATCACCCGAGGAAGGAAAGGCTGGGACCAGCATAACACAGGGAGGTGGCTGTTGGTGTCGAATCACTCCAGGGTGAATGTCTGTTACTGGGCCCAGCTGACACGCTAGACACGCGCCTTTTAATGTAAACAACGCCGTAGCGTCTCTTCCCCAGGGTTGGGATGCATTAGCTCTGGGGCAAATTCCATTTCGAATCCACAAAATATATTTATGTTTTCCTCCTCGGGGCTTACGTATCCATATCAAAAATATTCTAAATCACAAAATAGTTGTCTCTGCAGTTCCTCATACCACACACACACACACACACACACACACACACACACACACACACATATATATATATATATATATATATATATATATATATATATATATATATATATATATATATATATATTTCATGTAGATCCAAATGAAAACGTGGATAAGATAAATCTTGATAAAATCACACAGGAAAAAGTGGAAACAATGGAGCACCTTAGCTTTCGTCTTTATTCAAGACATCGTCAGAGGCAACTGAATTACAAGGGAAGAGAGAGGCTTAAGTTCATAGGGTGACCTTACTGAACATGAGGTCAGGTCATATATATATATATAGGCCTATATATATGTAATATTACCGGTTACATATATATATATATATATATATATATTATATATATATATATATATATATATATATATATATATATATACAATCAACACCTCAACCCGCCAGGATTCAAACCACGGCCCACGAGCCCATGACTGTGACCGGGGAACGCTACCTCTGGACCACCAGGACCGGGGAACGCTACCTCTGGACCACCAGGACAGGGGAACGCTACCTCTGGACCACCAGGACCGGGGAACGCTACCTCTGGACCACCAGGATACTGGTGGTCAGAGGTAGTGTTCCCCTGGGTCACAGTCATGGGCTCGTGGGCCGTGGGTTCGAATCCTGGAGGGTTGAGGTGTTGATTGTATGTAGAAGTCCGCGTGCTTTATTGGGCTAATGAAATATATATATATATATATATATATATATATATATATATATATATATATATATATATATATATACATATATTTATTAATTTAACATCTAACTGACGATGACAAACCCACACACTCAGGAAGTCACGTGTCCCTGAGCACCACACAACACGCTACACGGCGCGACGTGTACCCCAGAACCTTGGATGTACTCAACTTGCTTCCGAAAATGTTCTTGTTTAACATCCTACTCGTTGTCATTTTCTTCGAGCGGTCAAGTATCCCCCAGTACCAATAATCTCCAATCCAACCTAACTATTACGATTGAAAGCAAGATGAAATGGATCCGAACCTTAATGGGGTCACCATCTTACTGAGTGGATATTATTAGACGGGAGCTTATTTACGACTTGTTTGACCTTCAACTAGTTTTATCCCGTAACTACCAGTTGGAACTCACCTAAAGGACTCCATTAAGCCTAGATACCAAAATGATGACCGAAACGTTATCTTTACCATACAAAAATTGTGTTCAGGGAAGGACAAAAAACGTAAAATATATTTAAGAATCGGGTCAAAGCACCATTTAAATCATGATTCTCCCTCCTTAAATCAACTATCTATTTGGCGTATTGGAATGTTGACAGGGTTTTTTTTTTCTAAACAACCAGCAGCATGTTGAATATCAGCATCCTTTTCTCGCTCTCGGTTGTGTGTGAGAAACCTGACTTATAATGTACTAACTATTCAACCCAGATCTAAAACATGGCAGTATCCCGCCCTACTGATTATATTCTTAATTGCACTTGGGGAAGGGGTGTGAGGTGGCGACAATGGGGTCATCAGACTATTTTGTACCTTAGGGCGGGTGACAATAGGACGGTGTGGGAGGGCCAGATACTGTACGTTGCCGGCGTCACGTACACACTTCCTCGCTCGGCTCACCAGCCGCTGCTCCGTCTTTAAATGTCAAAATCGGTCGACGAACAGTTGCCAGTCTATAATTCTTGCTATTTTATCCATCTAATAATTTTGTATTTCGTGGTAGCTTAGTTCTTAAGTTATTTTTACAAATTGGTCAATAAACTTGACACTACAAAGTAAAATCGGATCAAATAAGAACCTTGAGAGAAAAACACAACTCCGGACGTCCATGAGATTGTGCGCATGCGCCCAGGTGTGGTAGAGCGAAAGCAGGTCCTGGCGGGAGGTTCAAACAACATATAACACCAGCTGGGTGACTTCTGTAGCCACTCCACCACCAGACACACGCAGGGCTACGCTCGTCCTCCGCTCCTTGATCATGACAGACAGTGTGTGGATCCTTTATACAGTGCTAAGTGGTGTTTCAAGTGGTTTATATATAGCACATCAAGCGTCTATTTTGGCAATTTCTTATAACCGATGAGTTTCCTTGTTTGCATCGTCTAGACTCTAGAGTGATATTAGGGTTCACGGAACTGATCCCTTAGTAGTACAAATAATAACCAAAGATAAATCTGTGATCTTCATGATATAATATTTGAAGAATAAACTGGATGCACAAATTGTTGCCTTTGTATAAGATTGTTTATTAAGTACTTTTAGTGTGAACACAACCCGTCCAGTCATCATGCAATTGCAAACAATTCCACAGTACAAGGAAGAGGAGCAAGTGAGGGCGTTGTCCCGTGTAGTGTTATGTCGTCAAGACAGTGTTACAGACGATGGTGAGGATAACGTTAAGGACTCTAGCAACCCGCCATCACCCGCAGCACACCTACCCCTCCACCTCCTACTCGCTGATAACCGCCTTGTCAGATATAATCTCGCCCACACGCAGCACACAAGCGAACAGAGCGATGCGCACAACTGTACCTGTTCCGATAATAATAGCCCCAAGGATTCACGAAAGAGAAAAATGATAGAAGAAGAAGAGGAAGTGAAAAATAAGTCGAGAGAACTTCAAAAAAGATTAGTAATAAGAGGGAGAAGAATCGTGTGCACTTCCGCTGGGTCACAAGAAAATACTCCTCTGCTTTATCTATACGGCAACTTCTTACATATACCTCAATTCAAATGGGTGAGTATACGATTTTGTCACTTTGATATGTGAAATATATTGTACGCATTACATATCAGAGAAGTCAATATATTTGTTTGAAATAATGTGATATACTGTATACTGGTTATACTTCATATGTTGCGGTCAATTTATACTGTAGTAGAGAAAGTAATGACAATCTCGGGAATTTTGTCTTTGTAATCAATAGTTTATATAATTCTAAGTCACGTTTCTTTTAAGACGTTTCCCTTGCAAGCAACCTATAATGTGCAGGGGGTCGAACATCCCCCGCCCCCGGTTAGGCGGTTAAGTTAGGTCAGTTACGAGCGAAACGTCTTGGAAGAAACGTAACTTAGAATTATTTAAACTATTGATTGCAAAGATAAAATTTCCGAGATTGTCATTACGTTCTCTACTACAGTATAAATTGCTAGCATTATCATATTAACGTATTTGTTTATAAGTATGTCGTGATAATGTTTTTAAATTACAAGGATGTTTGACAATGGACGAAAATCCATTCAAAAATACATTTTCCGTGCACTGAGGTGTGCTTGAGAATAAGTGAAGGTGTGTGTGTGTGTGCGGGAAGGGTGTTTAAAAAGTAGTCACGATTGTGTTTTTGAAGGTGAAGGCTCTTTGATTCGTGTACACAAGTTGGTTGCCCATTTGTTATTTGTTATTGTACACCATCATGTGGGTGGTGTCCACACGTGACATGTGTATACGTGTCAGGACATGTATGAGCAGTTGCACAATATGTAAACATTGACTTACATTAGCAAATTTGTGTAAGATACGTCAGAATTACGTTGTCGAATGTAAATGCTTGCTAGTGAGCTCGTGTTGCTGTTCCTGCACGGATGCACCGTGTGTATGACATGTGTTGCGTCTTGACCCCCCCCTCAGCCCAGCGAGCGGTGTGCGTGGAGGAAATGTGAGTTCACTGTTGGTCACCTTACCACCTCACGTGTTTATTCCAAAACTATTGTCTCACGGTAACCGAGAAACTGTGCTCGTTACGTTGTCTCTCGCTCAAGGTTAGGTTGAGGTTTCTCGAAAATCATTCAAATCTCGGCCTTCGGAAGAGACAACTGACAAAATTGTCCGTACGATTAGCCTCTACCTTTTCCTGTAACAGGGGCGACTTATCACTTGTTGACGGGTTATTACATCATAGTTTACGCTGTGGTAAACTTAACGGCATATCATATAGCTAGTCGGTGTATGATAAGCTGAGTTTGACGTGGCACCGACTATACGTGTTGAAGTTAACCCCACGCTGCACCAGTCATACGAGAGACTCGCGGCTCTATGAGACTTGAATATGATGAGTTACATAGCAAACTTTGCCTTATGTGACAGTACTTACGTGATAAGTTTAATAAAGATATATCTGGCATGATGACTGTTTAAGCATATATGGTGTTAGTGACATTGAATGCATGTATTAAGTAGAAGCGTGTAAACAAGTGACATTTTATATATTAGCTGGACTGATGTAAATTCAAGATAGTTAAAACACCATACACAACGATTGCCAATGTACAGTATTAGAGTTATTGAGAGCAAAGTTATGGCGTCGTCTTGATATTAACAGTATATTCAAATACTTCTTTAATTAAAGCTTTTAGATTAAATACAGATTGAAGACATGTTCATATAACTTTTAGATTCACCTTTTCTGATAAATGACGACATAAATTACTATATTAATAATGCGTCATAGAGTATTGTTTAATAGTGAAAGAAATGTAAATATACAGGAAAATCAAAAGATGATAGCTGGTAAATAGTGTAAAAAATGTAAATGGACTGTGTATTTTTATAATCTAGATTTAAATAAAGTTACAATAACATCAAGGGTTTAGTTCGTCCACATATTTCCGTGCACTTGATAGAGAGAGGTTCCAGGTTCTGAGGCGTACTTAGTGAGGGGCTCTTAGGGGTTGCAGCTGTATCACGAGACTGTCACATGATTAGGTACGATATTTAAATGAACTGGGGGGAAATAACATCTTTGAAATATTGAAAACATTCCATTTATTTTGATCTTGCCTCCATACTTCCATATACAGAAAATAATAATACCCAATTCCACCTAATAATCAGTCATCATTCAGCAAACATAACCAACACATGAATATCACTTTCAGGTATGTCGACTGAAGTTAAGAATATCTATTAACATTCTTCATAATCTACCAGTTAGAGGAGCCCCCTGTGTTACCCTGAACATGTTTGCCTCATGCCTCTTATCTCCTCTCCTATCAGCATACTGATAGAATTCCGGCACATTTTGTATCTGTATCATGTCAACTCTTTGGGGCAAGGGGAAAGCAAGGGAACGGAAAGACAACAGCAGCAAGATTTTAGAGGTTTAAAAATAAAGCCGTGAGTCTTGCTGGAGGAATGCAAGCACATGCAATCGTGGAAGCACCCAACCCAGTCCGTCCCTCCAACTTAATGCTTCCCCCCTCCCCTCCCACACACACGTTCCCTCCCTCGCAACGAACAAAAGCTCTTTACAATCCACACTGCCCGAGGCTCGTTCTTGAACACCATCACCACCTGGTTAGATGCGATGACTATTTTTTTACATTTCCCAAAAACTAGAACAAAATATAGTTTATTGAAGCTAAACCATTTTTTGAGGGGGGGGGGGAGCTGGCGGGTATCGTTTAAACAACCATGTGAAAGTTGCTCAATAATCTCCTATACCTGTACTCGTCAGTGCGCAATGTTGTATACCACACGAGTCTGGACTCTTTGTTCAATTTTCATGGGCTTGGACTTGAACATGAAACACTCAGACTTTGACTTTAGTATAATTGGCTTGATGACTCGAGCTGAGTCCACACTAAGTTCAGTTGAAATTAGTCACTTCAATACGTGATGTACAGTCAACCAAAAAAAATCTGCACCCCTGCGGTGTTACGCTTGAAGCACATGGGACCAAGAATTCTGAACGACACTAACGAGTTATGGCGTCTGTTGGTAGCACTGCCTTCTAGAGTTGCCAAGTTACTTTGTCTCGTGTTTACTGTAAGGAGTTTAAGAGTGTCTGCACAATGTGTTTCAAGATACGACTAGAGCAGTAGTATCAACCTTACCAAATGAACATGGCCTCATTCAATGATCATTTCGAAGTCCGTCAGACCCAGTGGGGTGCAGAATTTTTGGTTGACTGTACTTTCAAGATTGGTTATTGTGCAAATATGGTTGATGCATCACCACACAATTCCTCTGGGTTTATTAGCGTCTTAGTATACATTCACTTAATATTATTAAAAGGTTCTAGTTCTTTTAAAAATTAAATTGCATTAGCGGATTCTATTTGATTAAACTACCGGTAATGCACATATCATGAGCTAATTACTGGTTTGATAATGATAATGCTTATTGAACTAATTGCAACATTAATTAGTCGTGATGCTCTTCGAGTATATCACCATTGTCATACAGTACCATTACACACCTTGTTGCTGTAATAGTGCATTAACTTCAACTAGTCTGCCTTGGATACAGTACTCGGACACGGGTACATTAATTTTCTGGTAGAGCGACTTGGTTGCTTTCAGGGTAAAACGATGACCTCTTCAGCTGTCATTGGTAGATGATAAACACTTGCTATTGAACTCGACAACAGACATCGAAGCGTTTATAATTTTGAAGGGAAAGTTACAGAAAGCTCCCATACAAAGGAACATAAGAAAATAAGTAGTCTGCAATAGGTCGGTTGGCCTGTGCATGGCAGCTACTGTCGAGTTACTACCACTCTATCATTCATGAATCTATCTAGCCTCCTTTTAAAACTTTCCAGCGTTCCAGCACTTACTACAAAGCTGCTAAGCTTGTTCCACTCGTCCACCACCCTATTTGTGAACCAGTTCCTTCCTATCTCCCTCCTAAACCTAAACTTATCCAACTTAAATCCGTTGCTACGAGTCCTATCCTGCTCGAATATTATAAGAACTTTATCTATATCCCTTTATTGATTCCTTTCACCCACTTAAATACTTCTATCATATCTCCCCGCACTCTTCGTCTTTCTAGGGAATGCAAGTTTAGTTTCTTTAACCTATCTTGATATGGAAGGTTTCTAAGTCCCGGAATCATTTTCGTCATTCTTCGCTGCACCGACTCCAGTGAATTGATATCCATTCTATAATAAGGGCACCAGAACTGAACCGCATAATCGAGGTGCGGCCTAACTAGCGCAAGATATAGTTGCAATAAGACCTCTGCACTCTTAATACTTATACTTCTAGATATAAAACCTAATATTCTGTTTGCCTTATTTCGAACATTAACGCACTGTTTTCTAGGCCGTAGGTCCGGGCTTACAAGTACCCCTAAGTCTCTTTCACAAGTCGACTTCTCTAGGTTGATGTTGTTAAGGCTGTATACATTGACAGTATTTGTTCTTCCAATATTAAGTACGCTGCACTTGCTGGAATAAGTAAATACAAACATTAAAAACATCAGTGGCATCTTAACAGTATTTACACACACACCCACACACACAGGAACAAATAATACTACACTATCCATAGCACAGAAAAGTTAAAAAATAAATAAAAATCAAAGTTAAATGAAGTGGTAAGGTTCACATCGACAGCTGCAATTCATTAGTTCAGTTGTACGGCCGGGTATGGAGTGTCGTAACGCGTTAGCCGGGGTATATATTATGTACAGGATAAGAGTGAGGTAGGTGCGGCAAGTGAAATGTGGTCTCTCACGTACTCAGTTCTTTTTTACAGTCCCCTCCCCCACCCCACGCCGAAGATCCCATGAGTCGCCAAGGCGGATGCGAGTACGATAGTGAATTATTCCACACTGTAGAGAGGAGAAACGAGACACAAATATTTAACCTGAGAATGGAGTGATGATTTTATTTTTAGGGTAAGATTCAATTAATTGGGATGGAATGGATCTAATAAGTGAAATGATGGTTTAATTGGGATGGAATGGATCTAATAAGTGAAGTGATGGTTTAATTGGGATGGAATGGATCT